GACCTCGCGCCCGCCGGCCGTGTCGCTCCCATTTCCGGAACACAATGCAGCTGAGTCGGTTAAATGAAGAACACGGAAGTCTCGGGCTTCGCCGGGAAGAATGCTGCTGCTGAAGAGCACCCCTAAGAGTGGTCGGGTTGTAAGCCGATAATCAGGTGGCTGTGGTCAGATGCCCGTTCTAGAACCCTGCCACTCCAAGACCATATTATCACAGTGTCCATTAGGCCCCAGTAATCCACTGTCAACGCATTTGAGAACCATTCCAACGTTAAGGAGATTTCTATTAATGGCCCATGATCCTAAAATGAGACTATGGTTCTAGGAAAAGAGTTTTAACAACTCAAGGCTGCAATGAGTGATTTTCTGGTTTTAGAGGAATCTGAGGCCTTCAGAGATTCTGGCTGAGAAATTGGAGACAGTGCCCGAGAGCGTTGACCCTGCCCAGGACCGGCCTCAAGGGACCTGGGACCAGGGGCCAGCAGGGAGCCTTGCTGCTGTGGCTCCCCACCGGCATTTACTAATCCCTTCATGAACAGTTCGAGAAGGATGAAACAGCAATCGTGGATCCTATGACTGGTAGAAACTTTTTAAAAAAGAAGTCCTGTTTTGGAAATTTCTACTAGTGATGTCAAATAGACTAAGAATTCTTTAATGTAAAGCCCTGGTTCCCACCTCTTCTGTAGGCAGATGAGGTAAGATCTCACTAGAGAGGTGGCAGAGGACCCTGTCTGGTGCTTAGACTATTTTTCTTGTGCTAATGCAGATGTCAATTCAAACTGCTAACTTAAACTTTCATATTTACCATGACATTCCCCCCCCCCCCCGCCAAAAAAATAGGGCCGTGTTTCCTCTAAAAATTGAAAGTAAAGACTGAAGATTAAGGAATAAAACTCACAGACCTCATGCTGTTTGACTTTCCCTCTAGGAGGGAAAACAAAATTTGAAGCCAGCTCACCTGATGATGGCCTGGCTGCCCTGTCACAGTTATCTTTGACTGAATAGGTTGGGTTTGGTAGAGCTCCTTTATTTGAGTTTGCTTATTGTTTGTTTGCATCAGTAGCAGGTTGGCTGTTAAAGACACAGAACACGCTGCTGGCAAGAGAGAAGTCTGGCTGATGTCTTTAGCATGGGGGCCTTGGAGTGAGGATTACATGGCAGAGGCCTTTCAGATGCGCACCGCTTCCTTCTGTACAGCCGCCTCTGCATACAGAAGCCTCCTCCATTTCCTGTTTGGTTCATTTTCTTCCAACTGTTTCCATCAGAAAAAAAAAATACCCTTTTCAGGTAGTGTCTAGATCTCTTTCATTTTAATAAAGTAAAAAAAAAAAATTAAAGAATGCTGCTCCAAGTGTCGTGTTGTTATTAGCAGGCAGTTTGGCAGAGATGCTGCAGGCAATCCAATGCGACATGTCTCAATACACTGGTGCACTACAGTTTCACGTGTAATGTTAATTCTGTCCGAGACAAATCCTATCATCTGTGCGGTTTCGGAGCCCAGTACTGAAAGCATCATGGGGTGTGTCCTCCCCACACCAGGGGCATGGGGTCTTTCCAATCCCCCTAACTTAAGGGTGGAGATGGGGCATCTGTAGGATTTGGGTTTATCCAAGCAACTTGCCCTGACAGGTTGCTTGAGTTCAGGAGAGGAAAACAGAGGTGCTCAGCACGGGTTGCAGATCTGGACTTGGTTCCTTTAGTGGCATGGAAGAAAGGGCACGAGATGGCTATCCTTCCTAAAGATTTTGAAGGAAGGCAAAAATGCAGGGTGGGATCTGAATGAATGTGAACCTGCATCTTCCCATTAGGGTTGCTTCCATTTGCTTGGGAAGCACCTATTTCTTTGTGCTCTCTTTTTGCATGATTAAAACCACATCTATCTGCATAAGCCAGTGCCCAGCTGTGGCGCACCCGGTTTTGGGTTACAGCCTTGCCTGGCCTGAGGTGCGGGCTGTAGCACGAGTTGTGCACGTCTGGGCTGGTCCATTCTGGTTAAGTGGAAGCGGGCCCTTGTGTGAGGCCTCTTCACTGCAGATAACTGGAATGGGCTGCCAGGCAAGTTGGCGCTGCCCCGGCACCTACAGGGCCGCTTCCCTGTTCCAGGACCTGCTTCTGGCTCTCAGGGCTAGCACCCAGGCCCAAAAAGAAAAGGAGCAGGCGCTGGGGAGGAGGGAAGTGAAGTGCAGGGGAGTGGACGCGCAGGCTGAGACAAGGGACTAGGCTCTCAGGCTTACCCTGGAAGCCTGGGGCTAGGGGGCGGACGCGACCTTTAGCGGGACTCCGGGCTTCCTCGGACACTGTGCTGTGGGGACTAGCGCTCCCAGCCCATCGGAAGTCTCCGTCTCACCCCTCCTAGCCAGGTATCCGGAGGCCAGGTGGCCTTGTTGGCGGAGCTGAAGTGGCCCGGGGCGCTCCATAGGAGAGGCCGAGTTGGGGACACCCCCGGGAAAGGTGGGACTAGAGCCACCCGAGTGGGAGCCACTGTTGTCTGAAACCCGCAGGGTTCCAAAGCTGGTACCTAATCGACTTGAATTGAGTTTATTTCATCTGTGAAGCACTCCTGACACGAAATGCAGAGGCCAGGAGTTTGTGGGAAAGATCAAGACGTGGCAGCGGATCCCTGCAAGGCGAGCTGCTCCCACCCGCTCCTCTGTCTCCGAAAAAGAGCCTACTGCTGTCGCTGCAGAGTCTCTGACCCCCGTCAGGACGGGGTAGACCCCACTCGGCTTTCCGGTTCCCGCGTGCTGGGTCTTGAGCACAGGGCTGGGCGGACTCCGCCGCCGCCGCCGCCGCGAGGCACGGCTGCCCCGCCCTGCCCTACCTCCTCCCCACCTTGGCCAGGCTGTCGGGCTGCAGCTCCACCTCCCCGTCCAAAGTGATTGAACTGCGTGATCTGATAAAGTTGTGCAAAGGTGATGGAAAAATTAGCTTCAGAGAGTCTCAGGCTTTTTCTAACCTCGTTTATGGTTCAGGAGAGAAACATGATTTTTAAAAGGTGGTCTTTCCGGGCTCTTTGGGAGCCTTCTTGGAAACTGAAGACAACATGAGAAATTGGTTATTTGGGATGTACTTCGCTGTTGTAAGAAAAATGTGGGGTTAAGACCCGAATCTGGGAAAACCTTAAAGACCCCCTTGTCCCAATTTCACTTTAAGGTAAACCATAGTATAGAATTGACATTATCAAGTAGGTATTGTAAAATGTTGCCTTCAAATTTTTTAGTAAGTGTAAACTGTCACTTTAAAAAAAAATCTATAAACAAATTTTCTTTTCAGGCAAGACTTGATGAGATTCAAGAGAGCATGCGCAGCCAGGGACAGAAAATGAAATAGCCAGGAAACGAAATGGTTGCAACTGCTAGCCTTCATTTTAAAAGTTACAATCAAGAGCCACTTAATTTTGGTCAGATTGAAGAACATAAGTTTAAAATGAAATTAAATATTGCTTTTACCTAGGAAGCACTGTGATCACTGCCCCACTTGTCTTTTCTGGTGACTGATTTACAAAACACAAGTCCAGCTGAAAAGGGACCTTTTTTTTCTGAGCACTTAAAAAAAAACTGACCAGGGTGCCTCATGTTCAACTACTGAAATTATAGGTTTTAGAAGATTTCTGAAACTCTTTTGTTCAGAAATCATTTCTGCCCGAATTGCTTCTAGATTCTGATTACACTCCTTCTCACGTTTGCCTAAAAATTTGAAAGTTTTTTTTTTTTAAATCCTCTTAAACAAATAAGAGAATAGAAACAAGAAATTCTTGTCATTCTCAACTTCAGAGATACTCCACAGCTCTCCCTCCCTCTCAAAAACTGATCTATTTAAAACATACTAATAAAGTGCCTAAGAAATAACCCAAGTTTGCAGCAGGGAAAAATTACCCTAATGATTGATACTGTCTCTAAATTCAATTTCAAAGCAATCCTGATGAAGTCTCAAAAAGTTTACAAACCACTGTCATATCTAGTTCATTCACAGATTAGCAAAAAAAAAAAAAAAATTACTAAATTACTCTCTGCCCTACTTAAAAATTTTGGGAAGGTGAAGCTGAATGTAGGCTCCTCATTCTTAAGTACTGGTGTAAAATTAAACTAGACCCAGTGTTGTGCTAGAACCATTTTAATATAATTATACATATCTGCCAAATCCAGGAAGAAAAGGTTTATGCATATATAACTTTTCCAGTTAACATCTGCAAGCATAAACAACAATGATCTCAGTTTAAAAATTCATCGGGGTCAGAGCCAGGGACCAGTGTCTCTTTACTGCTAGGCTTACCAGCAGTAAATTACAGATGAATTAGTGTCCTTTTGTCTGTCTTCTTAGTCTCCTTGTCCAGAGACATTCTGTCGTAAAGTTTCAGTGCAGCTCCCCTCCAGCCAAAGGTAATCTTTTTAGATCTGTACTCATTCAGTTGCTCTGAATTTTGCTTATAATTATAACCTATTTAATCACAGAAGGGCCCCTGCAGAGGCGGGGCTCAAGGTTGCATACAATAACAGGAGATCACAGTTTTGAAGTCTAGCACAGATTAAGAACCACAGATGTACCATTTGTATAAGACACACACTGATTGTCTCTTAAACTACATATTGAATCCTTATGAACATTATTTTTTAAATAAAGTAGTGCATCTAGGACAATCAGTCACACAATTCACACAGCCCTGAAAAGTTTTTCAGTGCCAACTACCAGTTGGTCATGAAACGTGAATGAGCTCCAGACACTGTTCATTCCTAAGATTCAACCAAGGATTGGCTAAAACATTGGATCACCTCTGCTTATGAAGGCCATGACCTTGCTTCCCTCCCTTCCTCACAACTTAGTTTTGTCTGTTTTTTATTTTTGGTGGTGTTTGGTCACACATGGCTAGAATGCATTGGATCGATCACTTTGCAAATCAGGAAAACCAATGATCTAAAACTATGACAGGATCTTAAGTAGATTGGTTTGTCCATTTCAGGTGGATGGTTGATAGGCCCCCCTAAGGCCTTTCACTTTTCCTTCTATGCCTCCCAGAACTTTGATCAGAGGAGTCTGAGCGTCATCCCATCTAACGCTTTTAACCAATGCCTGGCTAAAACTGGAATGTCCAGCCCAGTATATTTAAAAATCGCCCACAAAAAGAGGTTCTACAGGTCTTCACAAAACCTGAAATTTCCACGAAGATGTCTGGTCTTTATAATCCAAGCAGTCAGCATTGAAGTTAAGCTTCCAGGAGGCAGTTTGGTCCTTATAATCCAAGCAATCAGTAGTTGAGTTAAAACCCAAGCTTGACGCTCCATATCCCTGGGTGGAAAGAGAAGCTGGGGACTGATTGAGATGGCTGGTGACTGCATTGGTACCCATGGGACTGAGTGTGGCCCCTGGTCCAGGAAGCTGGTGGTGCATTGGGGTCAAATAAGATCCACAGTCCATGCCCCCAAAGTAGGAAGTTGAGCCAGCGTATCCTTGACTATAACCTGAAGCCTGAGTGTAGGTCATGGGATAGGACCTCTGCATGCAGGAGGAGGAGGTGGACAAGGGGTCTGACAGTGGGGAGATGGAGGCTGGGCTCCAGATGGACACGGGAGCACTGCTGCTGGCAATGGCCGGGACTGATGTGCTAGAGGAGGGAGTGAACTGGCCACTCGTTCCACTCTCTGAACTCACTTCCCTGGCTGGAGAAGTCTTCTTTTTGGCAGGTCTCACTTTGTTTTGACCTCCATTCTGCTGTTGCTGCTGTTGCTGGCGGCACTTAGCTCTTCGATTCTTAAACCACACCTTGAAAGGGAAACACACTTCTTTAACATGGATTCCACAGCTCCTTAAGGAGAAAAGAGGCTCCCTGATTACAAATCTGTCCCACAAGAGAGATGAACTAAGGAGACAATCCCGCTGCCACTAGAGACACATTTAGACACTCTCTTGCACGCTTTCAGAATTCTAAGAACATTGGGAGGCTCAGTCTAAAAGCATTTTACCCTTCCTTATTACTGGCCCAGAGTAATAAAATGTAAGCTAGTCTGCCAAGTCATATGCCCCAAAATTTCCCATCTTGTTTACCTATCTTATCTCTATTTACACACACACACACACACACACACACACACACACACACACACAGACCGAGTGATGGATGGACCGAGTGAGCGCCCCAGCTATATTCTAACATTTTTCTGACTGAAACAGACACTGTCTATGTCTTTCGGAGGGAAAGGCAAGAGAAAAAGGGTAAAATAATTCTGCTGTTACAAGTCCACGAGAGCATCCCAAATTCAAAACGCCCATTTCACCTTCCTGGCAATTGCTACTATGGAGGCTGGCTCCATCATCACTTTACACCTTGCCTCTCCTAGAAAAAGATTCCCAAAGAAAGCTCCAAGGAGCAGACATGATCCTGTTGAGGAAAGAAGTCTGAAATCCTCTCCTTGCTGAAAGCAGCTCTAGGGGGAGTGCAGTGATCCGCATTGTTCCCTGCTTTGAACTCAAGGACAGACCCCTCCACGGGTTTCCAGAGTTCAGGTGTGCACCTTCAGCGCAGCACCGCTCGGCCCAGAAGTTCTGTCCCCTGTATATGTCTGTTGGCTTGTCCACTTAAATCTCTGCCTGCAACTCTGAAAATCATCTTTTCATGCTCTGCAAAGCAGCAGCTATGTTCAGAGGAGCTGTCTCCTGGGCTAGAGTCCTTAATAATTTTCGTCCACTTGAAGCAACTCTCGGTGGTGGTGTAGCGATGGCAAAAGTGATAGCCCAAGGCTCCGCTCAAAGCCACTGAGGACCTTGTTTCAAGCTCCACAAGTGCTAGAACTTCTCTGAGCCACTTTGAAAAAGTCCATTTTCTGCCCTGCAGTTCTTGCTGATGTCTGGCACTTCCCCAAACAGTCCTACCTGAGGGAAGGTCCCAAATGCACATGCGGGTTAGATGCTAAACCCTTCTGAGAACCGTGGGCCTCAGCCTCCAAAGGCAGGCAGGAGCTGACTTTCCCTTTTCTTGTTAGGGCCAAATGAGAGGGGAGTAGCCAAGCCAAGGGGCGTCACTAGGGACATATTTCATATATGTTATCTATTAAATCATTCAGAATAGATAATTTGGTTCAATCCCTAAGAAGTTAAAGAAAATACACTTTTATTGTGTCATCTTGTTTGGTAAAAGCATCAGCTGTTTCTACAGCTTGGCTCTGTTTCCAGTTTAGATTATGACCCTGAGTGAGTCTTTGCTCTATTTTTTTTTTTTTTTTTTACTGTAAAAAAAAGTTACCCAGGACCCAAGTTTCTCTCACATGTGAAAAGTCTATGAGAATAGCAGAAAATTTCTACAAAGAGAGGAGCAAGACCACTGGACACCACTGACTACCACCAAAATCTGCCCAGGAGTGGGTCGCAGCCTAGCAAAGAATGAGGGTTCTAAGACTTTATCATTATAGCCAAATTGCTACTCTTACCTGGCCACCTGGACTGGAAGATCTTAGCTTATAGGATTAAGACAGGGATGGGAGGCAAGGAAAATCGTTTACTGGTCTCTGGGTGTTTATACTTATAAACCTGCCTTGGATCCTGGGAAAGGGGCAGCAAGCCCGTGAGGATGGCTCCTACCTGCACCCTGGATTCTGGCAAGTTGATTTTCAATGCCACCTCCTCACGCATGAAGATGTCTGGGTACCGGGTCTTGGCAAACAGCGCCTCCAGCACATCCAGCTGCGCCCGGGTGAAGGTCGTCCTCTCCCGCCGCTGTTTCCGGGGGGTGGCTGCAGGACAAGAAACCCAGGGCCCTTTAGGGTGGGGGAGCAATTTCTCAGTCACGGGGTCTCAGTGGCTCCCCGGCTATCCAGTCCTCCCCTATTCTACCCAACACTCACCACCCCTCCCCCAAGGCCTGGCCCTGATGGGAAGCACACCACCGACCCAAAATGGCCCCCAGTTGGCCAACTTCAAAGCCCACTCCCACTGGAAGGGCACTTGGAGGAAGCTAACAAAATGAAAGAAAGTTTTAAAAAAGAAAACAACCCAACTCCTCCATAATCCACCCCCCCCCAAACTAGAACACAAGTAGAACAGCCAGGGTGAAGTCAAAGGATTTCCAGTGAGGATCCCAGGATGGACTGAGCGAATCTCCATCCTGCTCACTGGTCTTAGCACTCCAAAATGTTTCTCCACCTTTAAAATGGGGCCAGAGCTCAAACTTCTAGAAAGATTTTACAAAACAGAGCTGAATGAAACGCATTGCTGGGGTGTCACACTTTCAGGATTAGGGCCAGGGAGATCCAGGGCAAAATCTTGAGAGCTGCAAAGGAGGCTTTTGAGAGGAAACTCAGCTTCTCTGAGCAACTTGTGGGGAGCGGGGCGCTGAGACAGGAGGGCCAAGGGCCTCCTGCCCAAGTGACAAGGGAAGTAGCTTTCTCCATCTCACCCCAGTGCCTGTCCCCAGCCACTGCAATTAGGATCAGCAGCGTGATTTCCTGCAACTGGTGCAGACACATCTCCTTACTTCTTCCCAGCGGTCCACACCCATGGCTTTCAGTGGCTTCTTCCCAGGCAAAGCCCCGTGGGCACCTCACCTGGAGCCGGGCAGAGGCAGTGTGGCCTCCAGCCCAGTGCTTGAGGGATGGAGGACATTAATCCTGTGGGCGCGCGGCCGCAGGCTCACTTACCCGGGTAGCCCACGGAGGGGTGCAGCAAGTCCATGCCCGAAGTGGTCAGACTCAGCCCATTGACTGCATAAGGCGGTTGCTTAAGATAAGACATCATGCTAAGGTTGTTTGGAGGCGCAAAGTCGGCCCAAATCGGGGGGGACCCAGCCAGATGGTCTGGATTCACCTGGGGTGGACAGGTCCAAGGTCGTTGGTGGGTAGTTTTGGAGTGGTGGAACTAAGGGCAAAGCAAACAAATAAACAGAGGAGCTGGTTTACTGCTTTGGAGGCGGCAGCTCTCCCACGTCCAACACTCTCTAAAGCGCCCAGCCAGCCCAGGCAGGGGCTTTTAAAGGACCCGCAGACAACCCCCCTCCCCCCCCAGCTGCCTGTAACTGCAGGGAGACCAGATAAACCTGTCTTCCCCACCCCCACACTAAACTTAAAAAAAGAAGGGACCCTAAGAAAGCAATTACAATCAGCCTTCCCCCAGAACAAAACCCCACGCCTTCAAATGCACACCTCGCATTCCTAGCCCAACATTTGCATAGGACTCATTGGCTGGCACTCGCTAATTGTCTCAAACAAAACTTGATTGGGGCCATTTGCAGAGACAAAGAACTCTTTGGCTAAATAAATAATGCTGATAACAAAGCCCATTGGTGAGAAACAAAGAAACAATTCAAGAAATCTACCTCTCCCCAGACTGTTGCCTTTCCAGGCAGAGATTTAATTATCTTAGCTTTTTACCACTTTCCACTGCTTCAAACCTAAAAACGGCAATGCATTTAACATCTAAAATACCAACTTGCTAAACAACAAACTTGAGAAAACTGCCCAGCCGCCACTCTTTCACGTTTAAAGTCATTTCCAGTAATCATTTTCACCTGATTAGTAGTCTGGATAATTAGATTTCGAGGTAAGTTACAGATTTATTAGGGTTTTGGAGAGCCTTGATTATTTATGTCTAAAGAACTAAAGCTAAACAAACAAGCATTTAATTTTTAAGCAACACCCATCAACTATTTAAACATACTGCAAAAAAAGTCTTCGAGATTGGCACAAGGCTTGTCAGAAGTTCTGAAGTAAAGTGAGAATCCCGGCAATCAGATAATAACAAGCCCACATTTGCAAGCACAAGGGTGTGCGTTTGTAGTGCTAGCCGCTTCCATGTTGATTTAGATGTGTGGAGGCTGCAGATCCTGTGGAGGCAAATTTTCGGACATTTGGGTCTTCAGCAACTGCGGTGCAGTTTCCTGTTAACTCGAACTGCCTTTTGCACATTTTAGTTTTGAAGGAAGTAAGTACATAAACACCCAAAGTTGCGAGACTAACTGAATTTCACCCTCCCTTTCAAGTTTCCTACAATCATAAGGAGCGGAGGGAAGGGGGAGAGAAAGAAGTTAATTTACTTTCTTTATTTGGATCTCCTTAGCACGGAGCTCCAAAACAGGTATGAACATAGGCTGGAGCTTTTGCAAGTCTGGCTTTTAATATTCCTCAAACACGCCACTCACCCTGCAACCATCTCTACTTTGAAACTTTGACACTAGGAGAGATTGACTCAAAATGGCGGATACAAGTTGAGGAGTTCCCCCTTTACTTTTAAAATAAGTCTTAAGGACTTCTAAGCATCCTGGGTCTTCATAGTTACATTGCTTGAGACACCAAGGCACAAAGTTCCACAAACGCAACTTGGTAACTGCAACTTCTGCTTGATTCAACTTCAGAGCACAAAGTCACACTTTTCCATTTAAAATATAATTTCATGAAATTTTATAAATGTTCTCGGAGAAGTTTGAGGAACTAATTTAGCTGCTCCTGCCACAAAGACTGTATGGTTTTTATTCTTTTAAAGACGGAGTTATTAGGAGGCTGTGAAAATAATACTGCTTTAAAATACAGTCATGTGTTTGTTTAAATAGAGCATAAACTGCGGTTCTTTTTGGATTAATACAATCTTCCTGCCTTGTAAAATTCTGAACTGCCAAAGAGAAACCTAAAATCACATCAAACGAGAAATATGGAAATGTTTTTACATGTCCAGCTCTCGCCCAATTAGAAATGCCTGACGCCCCATACAATCAAGCAGCACATTCCAACATAAAAAAACAGTCAGGTACAGAAAGCGCCAGGATTGAGGTCTTTCTTGGAGCGCCTTTGCCCTTACATCCCCAAAAGGCTAAAATTCTCAGGACAATTTTCACTTTTACTCCTGGATCCACCTTTAAAAGAAAAAGGAAAAACAAAAACAAACCCCCAGGGGTGCTCTCCCCAGCCGGCCCAGGTAAGCCCTACTCCAGGAGAGGGTGCTGGGCCTTTCCACCTAACTTTCAAAGCCCAGTTAAGGACGCCGGAGTCCCTTCCTCTCCAAGCACAGCCCCGAAGAGGAGAAAGAAATTACCCTTTCCAAAACAGATGCCTCCAAAGGAGTGCAGGAGAGGCGAGGTAGCTTTTGGAGAACTCCTATCTGAAGCGATCGGCAGTAGCGCTGCGACTCCAGGCGCTGGAGCCTCGGTCCCCGCCTCTGCACGCGCCCCGGCCAGGCCCGGTCTCCGCACTGCCCGCCACGGCCTGCTCAGCCCTTATATCTAACGGTCAGCCCGTGCAATCTGTCGCTTCCCCTCCCCCTCCCGTGCTTTTTTTTTTTTTCCTTCCAAGAAGCCCATCTACCAGTTGCTGTGTCCTCGCTCAATAATAATTACCTCGTCCGAGAATTAATTATAATAAATGTTTTCTTGATAAACTAACGAGATAATCCGAGGGGCACACGTCCCTTAATTACAGGCCGCCGCGCTCAGCTCTGCTGCTCGTCCTGGCTGATTAATTTTCTGCATGATGGAAAGGAAACAAAACTACGAGGACTGGCGACTGGCCTGCGGCTGGGAAACGACGGAGAGGAGGAGGAGGAAAGGAAGGCAGGAAGGCAAAGAGCAAAAGGAGACATGCTGGGCCCGCGCAGATCAGCCCGTGCCCGGGAACACGAGTGAAAGTTTCTGGCCTCGGGAACCTGCTCTGCCACCCGCAAGGGAGGAGGCAGGAACGTGCCAAAAGGGTTGGCCCTGACTATTAATTATCGTGGGGCGAGGGCCGGCGCAGGCCCTGGGAGGAGAGGTCTGGGTGTCTACCTGGCCCGGGGGAGGAGTCTCCTACGCACTCTTCTCGGGGAGAACAACTTTCGGAGCCCGAGAAGCCGGAGGGTCGCAGGCGAGGCGCCGCCCCGACGCTGCGGCTCGGGCCCTCGCTCCGAGTCCTGCCCAGGCCCGCGGGCTCGGCCTGCCCTCTGCGCTCCGATTGGGCGCTCGGGTTTTCGAACTCTGCGTCCGAGACCCGACAAGCGCCTTGCACAAGTCGCTCCAACGCCGTCGACCGCTGGGCTTCTGCAGAGCGTACGGCGGACGCTTCCCCAGGCCGGGGCGGGTCGAGACCCCGAGAGGCGTCCCCGGGTGGCTGAGCGCGACGCTGCGCTCCGCGCTGCCCTGGATCCCCGCCCTGCCCACGACGCCTCATCATCCCCCGAGCCTGTGAACCGAGCCTGTGCGCGGGGTCCCGGCGGACGGTCCCCGCGGAAGGCAGGTTGCCCGGCTGCTTTCCCGCGGGCGGCCTCGGCGGAGCCGGGCCCGCGCAGCCTCCAGGTGCGCCGGGGACCCTCTGTGAAGTCCCCTGGAAATCCTGCTTCCTCGGTCTCGGCCTGAAGACCCGAAACGGGGACCCAGGAAGGCGCGAAAGGGGCGTCCAACTGTACTCCCTGGGATGTTTCTTGCAGGGGGCTGGGGGAGGTGATGAAAAGGAACCAGAGACCCGAAGGCCTTTGGGAGAGGCCGAGACCGAGCTGCTGCGGCTGGGAGAGGGGAAGGCGGGGAGCAGAGGCCCCGCTCCCGCCGGCTCGGTTCGCCCGAGTCTGGGCTCGTCCCAGGGGACGGGGACCAGCGGGCCGGCCTCGCGCGGAGGAGCGCCCGCCTCGTTATTATTACCATTGTTTCCATCCATCCTTTTAGCTACGTCTGCATCTTTTTGTAACGTCCTTGGGATCCATCCAAACGACCCCCAGCAAAATCTGGGGCCCCAAAACGCAGAGGTCGAAGGGAGAAGCCCACAATGGCGTGGACGTAAAAACAAAACCACACACTGAAACCCCTCCCAAACTCCCAGATTAAACTCGCAGGCTTTCGACTAGGATTTGCAGCCACGGCGACCCCAGGAGCGCGCTCTCTCCCTCCCTCCCGCTCCGCCCTCTCCCCAGATCCTCAGTTTTCCGCAGTGGTCCTTACAGTATTACTCTTCCCAATTTGCAAGAAAAAAAAAATTCACCAGGTTTTAGAAGAACTCTACACTCGCATATGAGACGGCCCAGTGGAGGCGCTGGGAGGTGCAGGTAGACAGAGGGACACATCTCGACAGGGTACGAACAGGACGGGCGGCACTTACCTTACAGCCGCATTGGAGGTTAGGGAAAAAAAAAAAAAAAAAAAAAAAAAAAAAACCACCAAAATATCCTTCAAAATCTCAAATATCCAGCTATCCTAAAAGAAATCAAGAGTATTGAGTTAGAAAGCTTGCCGTCTTCACCATTCCGTAAAAAGTCAAACACAACCAAAAAAAAAAAAAAAAAATAGAGTACAGAAAGTGAAGAGTTGGAAACACGCGTGTGCCCCTCCACGATACATACAAGGTGGACGTGGTGCGCGAGGGGTGCTCTCAAGATTTTTATTTTTAATCACAGTGGAAGGCGAGTTGGAGCTGAGGCCGGTTCCGCTCTCAGGGAGATTTGCTGAGAAAGCGCCTCTCTGGCAACTTTTTGACGCAAACTCTCCAACCAATGGAAAGGAGAGAATGATTGACACATCTAAGCCAGAGGGAAAATAATAAAAACACACAACGGGGGAGGAAAACAGGCCGCTGCTGCACTGGGGGACGAGCAGTCAACAAATGCAGGCCTCTGACATTACCAGAATGTTCTTGAAAGACACTGGGCTCCGTTTAAAATATACATTATGGGCCAGGGCATGTGAACTAATTGTGTAATTAAAATGATGGACAGGAAGGCCTTCCCTCACCTTCGCGTCCTCTTCTTCCTTTACACTCCTTTCTTGTCTCCCCTTTACTTTTTTTATTTTAGGGAAGGGGGAAAGGACAACCCAACAGTGCAGATGGGAAGACAGCAGATAGAAAGCCCGGGCCGGGGAAGGGTGGGCCCGGAGCCTGAGTGGGTTCTCTCGTGCGGCGGTGTGAGTGGACCAGAGGCAGGCAGGAGCCAGCCCGGAGCCGAGCCGCCTGTGCCCGCCGGGACCCGGCCAGGCCACACTGCGGGCCGAGGGCGAGGGCGAGGCCTGGCGGTGAGGACTGGGGTGCGGAGGGACAGACACGGCCCAAGAACAAACTCTTTTGAAGAACTCTGGTTCCTCCGCATTCTTTAAGC